CCMRRAAAMMMTGCGGTAGTGTTCAGACGTATGCAAATGTTCACGTTGCTTGSTTTTCAGTCGCTTTCTCTCTGGAAYAGCCTTATATGCGTCTTTTAAATAATGCCTATCTACTTAGTATTCGATTCACTAGGTATCTCCGTTCTTTACTATACTTTGATTTCTGGAGCCACTTCCCCCACCCCCACTCCCCTCGTGGAATTTTAACAGTTCAGTTAAATATGCCTGAAATGCGTTCATGGCGGCGTTGATTGACGGCGAACCAAAGCCGTGTGTTACCAGGCCAAATGTATGTAAACTTCTAAGCGTTGACTCGGGCAGAGTACTGCTTGGTAGTCGCAGCTTTGGATAAGGATCCTGWGCTAAGATGTCTTGAAGCTCTTTCGCTAGTTGTCTAGAAAAAAAGATGCATATATATGACAACAAATAAGTGAGCGTCCCCCCCTTCTTTCTACATTCTGTATTGGTTTTCCTGGGGGAGAACTTATATAAGAGAAAGAAAACTTGCTCTGTTGCAGCTGTTAGAGTGCTTCACTGCGAGTAAAGTCATTGTAAGCGTTTATTTTAGGCAAAACGCACTGGAGAAATGATATTGATAATATTCAAGTTGCTAAAACAGCTTTAAAACTCGAAAAAACTGTCAGAAACGTCAAAAACTTGACAATAAGTATCAATATGCTTGAAAATTGATCTTACTTTGCTGTTATAAGCGCATTTTTTCTCGATTGTTGCTCTGCCGGGTCGGCATGCTGTCGGTACTGATACTCAGCTAACTGACTTGCTGGGAATTCAGACTCACAAACAAAATCGAAATCAGCTGCGAGGTGAGCGGCTTCGCCTGAAACACAAAAACAAACTATATTTATACACTGTTTTTATTCATCAGGTTTATTTATATTAATAACAATTGACAATGAAGAGGAATTAGAAWAAAAAAGAGAGTTCACAACTGTTTTCGTGAATGCGGCATTTGGCCTGGTACATATGTCATATYTTGACATCTTTTTGACACAATTTGTAATACACTTTGCCCAGTTATTATGTGTAGTATTGCTCGTGTGCGACAAGTTCGCACTTTGATATTGGAAAGCGATACCATTAAGAGATTTTAAACTAGGTTAGCTCATTGAACGCGTCGTTGTTTCACAGCTTAAACATGAACTTATCACGTGATCATACTGCGTCTTGTTCCATTCTACAGCCATTAAATATTGTGTTGCTAAGAGATGAGTYACAAAAACACAAAAACAAAACACTAGTAAAATTGTGTCAAAGAGAAGTTGATAAATAAATCGGACAAAAGAGGCGACTAAATTAAGTATATTGCGCYAAAATGACTTTCGCTGTTTTGAATATCTTAAAACGGTTTGTCAAAATATCAATTGGGCCAAATTGACTTGCGTGTGTCATTCTTCTAGCTCTATAGAAAGAATTTTTTWAAGCACACTGCACATGTTGAGCTTTAGATTACCAAATCTCTTCACTAAGATTCCTATCTCGTTCAAGGCTAACTTGAAATCATTATCTCAGGCTAGCGATGGCACTTAAAGACATCATAAATGATAAACCACAACGCCTAAAGTGGCCCGTATCTTGAATGTTGTGGTCTGGCGAACAAGCTAAGGTGTGAGTAGTATAGTACGTCTGAAATCGACCATTCTGTCAAAAGTACAAAGACGCTATAGCTCTACATATTCTACTATACTCAATATCAATAGATTATTCTATTCAAGTCCGTTCATACCCATTAGGATATAGATTACAAAGTAGAGAATTAAAAAACGGATCTATTACTTCTATTCTTTTAGGACTGTATGATGAATTGTTATTGAGATTTATCACAAAACGACATGGATCCGTGGATTTCCTGATAGAACGAGGCCTGCGTCGTGTGTTATTAGGGCTTTCAAACTTCCTGACTATCTTTCCATTATTCAAACCTACACCTGCCTCTTTGAGCTGATTGCACCGAGTTTCTCCGCCCAACCTCCATAAATATTGAATAACTGTTAAAGCCAGGTTATCCTTGAGAGAAATGACTTAATTTAGGTCGAAAAGTAAAGGATTGTAGAGCTGGTAATCTAATGAATAGGATAAGCAACTTACAACTTACAATGTCTCTCAATGAAACAGGGGTTTTAGCTTGCATAAATGTTGAGTAAAGGATTGAAATCGATAGTACACCTTTCTCAATTAACCTGATAAGAACCAAAATCTCTCAATTGTGTGTCCATTTTGAAAAGAAAAGGCGGTCAGTTATTGTATTACCAGGAGTATATTGATGCCAGTTCAAGTGAATAAACTGGACAAGCGCGCGTAATTTTACTAAATGTTTTTATCTTAATTTGTTTAGAAATAGCAAATATTTTATTGACTTGTGTTCATTAAAGGATTTGAGTCAATACTCTATTATTTTATGCGTATATTCATYCACTGACAAAACAGTATCAAGAAGTTGACGAGAAATGAATAATGAAAGCGTTCCCCGCCCGTATTTTCTTTATCTCTGGGTTCAATTTAATGCGGCATAATTTATTCGTTTTTTTTTTCTTGAATTTTTTTCATTTTTCTCTTAAAAATACCAGACGAAAGAAAACGAAATGTCCTGATGAACGCTTAAACATGTACAATAAATCCAATATAGGAACACTAGAGTATAATTAAAACAGATATTGTTTGAGTGTTGTGTGTAATTCAAAGGCCGCCATGTTGATGCTGTATCGTGCTGTGTTGATGCTAATCAAGTCAAAACAAGAACAAAGAGTAATCCACTTCGYAAGACGACCAGGATCCGATCAACAAAATTACCACCTTGGACTTCCTTTATTTTGCTTGTTGTAATTTAATAATTACTGTCGTATAAAATACCCTAAAGACAATCACAAATGCCTATGCCGAGCTGCTTTCTCAAACGMAGTTGGAAAATATKTTKTGTGTGTTTTTTTTTTCTATTTTACGATAMGAGACGAAGGGTTGCTGTACTTACCTTCCACAAGAGATGTCAAAAGCGTGACTTGAGCGGCTTTTCGGCGTCCTGCAGGAAGGGACAAGCCAATTTTATCGAGTTTGTCTCTTAGGCACTTTCCTCCATTTTTGGATTTCGCTCTGGAAACAAGAAAACACAGCACGTGTCGTCAACACAAAAGACATGATAAAATTGCTTCCTATTTTGATGTCTTTCCATTCAKAATTTCCCAAATATTATTTATTTTGAATCGACAAATTTTTGACAGAAATTTTGTTTTTGTATGGTTGGTATTCGCATAATTAATAGAGCGTCCGCCCTGCCGGGATGACTTGCGTTTGAAACACTGTGTTGATTTGGCAACATGCGACGATCTCACAAAGCTGCTAAAAAAGAAACAACTAAGAAAGGAAACAAGTCCCTTTTACGTTATTAATGATGTCAATTCTTATGAAAATCTGTGGTATTTTGAGTGGTACCTCTTCGTATACCAAAGACTTAACTTCAGTAAAATGAAATGTAACTGGTTTTACTAGCATACAAAAATAATTCCACAAAAAGAAAAGAAAACATAATAAAACATTGTCCTAAGTACCAAAATGAATCTTTTTCTAGAGAACCTGATAAAAACAGATTTTAATTGGCGAAAATCTTSTTCTRTGAGACAAATGTCTATTGTCTTTTTTATAYATTTGAATGTGTGGTYGCGATAAACTCAAAAGCTTTTAAAAAATTACATCAATTTAAGTTTAGTCGATTCGATTGGATGTCAACACGAGAACTTCAAGTGGCATAGGGACAGTTGTTTCGACACTGTAAACCACACAGTTTTAGCAGGTTGAYATGAATGCCATTGTGACCACCATTATATTACACTACTTGTTTATTTTCCCTGGTATTTTATCCGATAAATTCCTTTTATAAGTTGTAATAAACGAATAAGGAAACCATCAAAGACTACTATTTCTTTTTTTTATTGATTCATCTTTCCTTTGTTTGGATTTCTTTTAACCTTAACTAGCACGAAAGGTCCTAAGGAAATTAGCTATAGCAAATTATTTCCGTCAGCCTTATGTGTAATTTCTTCGCGCTTCTCCTTGTACACTTGTTSTTATTCACGCGCGCACTTTAAAGGTTGACTCTTCGACATAAGTTCTGATTTCAAMGACTGTTTCCTCTTGTATGATTTTAACGGAAATATGATGTCAACCGCGATCCCTAATGTGAATGGCGATTTAACAAGGCCGAAAAATGACCCCCTTTTAACGGAGAGTAGTGGAGATTTGTGAAATTTAATCTTTTTGTATTAGCCATGAGAGCTTTGATCCTCTTAAGTGTGACCATTCAATGCTAACTAAACTTATCAAGCAAAACTTGAACAGAAGGGAGCGTGATGAGTATGTAAGGGGCTTAGGCTTGTGGATGAGAAGTGTGCCGCTACTGTTTCAAGCAGGAGTTGCCTTTCTAGTGACTTATCGCYTACATATCGGCAGTGTTCTTAGGAGAGAAATCAGAAAATCTAGGATAGAGCTAAGCCCCCTTTAGCCGTTCGCTATCTCAAGGCTCCTAGGGGCAATTGATACATCAAGGACGTCAAACGGCAATTTTTCTATAAAAAATTGATATCGACTTTGAAATACCCACAATAACCAGACATTTAAACATCACCCGACGCTATTTTCTTTAGATTCAAAGTGAAAAGGGAATAACTTTACAGTTTCGCGAAACACACGCCATCTGTTAAGCCTTTTGTGATTGACTGATTTTTTTAAAGTTTGCCTGAGGGATAGGAAACTCGACAAAATGTACAGCAGGATAAATATGCATTATCAAACATCTATTTTAGCCTTTTATTGATGATTTCTTCGCTTTTGAAAGTTCAAAAAGCCGCCCGATCTATAAGAGGTAGAAYTCCCCGCCCAAGTAAATGGCTCTGCAATCTATTACCTGTAAAAAGCCGATGATTTGACAAAAAAAAACTATAAATGCACAAAAAACGCTGCAGGCAAATCACGAAAAGAGGCTAAACATTTTATTAGCATGAGCGACGAATCACTTTAATGTCAGTCGACATTGTAAAACCACCTAACCTCCACATGCTTTTACAGGTTATATTGACCGTCAAAGAACACATCTATTATATACCATTGAAGTAAAACATCAAAATGAACATTCATTCTTAACCTATCACATTGTGTACTGAGGCGACGCAATAAAAATGTCTATAGGAGTCATTATTTGAGCAAAAAGTTAATCTAGTAATAAAACAGTGTTTAAGRCCAAGAACTGTGAATGCATATGTATGTTTGGATTATCTAAAGCGGGATTTTTGACCCTCATTAGTGGAGACATATCAAAAGGACTCCAACAGTGCCACGAGGCTGGTCTAGTCTCTCTTGTCATTATGGATGCCTTGATGGGAGCTCGTAACTCCCTATTGTGAATCTTTCAAAACACACAGATTAACGAAAACTCGAGAACTATAAACAAGAATGCATCGTTGACATGTCGGTGTTCTAATTGTGGAAAATCGTTTTACTGTAGATATTCGAGAATTTGAATACGTAGAAACAGATCAGAGGCTTAGAAGGGAATAGGTTGATCAACCCTGCAACCCTCCAGAAGCAATTACCAACCGACAGGGGGTATAGGAACCTGTTTTTTGTTTTCTAGCTAGTTTGTATAGCTAATTTCTCGTTGATTCTATTCGCCTAATTATGATAGATTTGTTTGACAAACATTTGCATTTTCCACAGCGGAGCGCCTGAGTCATCGTCGTTGGTCCGTGAAACATTCACARTTCAGATTCAAATTCTATTTTTCCCTGCGAAACGCTCAAGAGACCACAGATTGCAAAGCACTCACCATGAGACAATAGACAAWAGGACACTGRAGAACTGATTTGAATTTACATCATAAAGCGAAGTGTTGAAGCAYAATCTTAAGTGATAATCAAACACACGATAAAACTARCTTGACAAAAAATAWGGAAAAAGTTGAAATATTGCAAACTAGTCCTTTTTGTCATTTCTTGGCATTTCAGTTTAAAATACCAACAAGTATGACTGACAATGAAGTGTTTTTCATTCAATTTTGAAGTTATACACATTGAAATGAAAAAAGGAAGACGAGAAAATGAGTAGTAGTAAATAATAGTTTAAGTTCTCACCTCCGCAAAACACCGCCTAAGAGAGATGCGTTCAGGCACTCGGGATGWGACAATCGTCTTCGTATTTCTCCAACTGTAACTTTGTATTTTGAAGTCGAACTAAGTAGCGAAAGACGTCCAGGTACACAGCAAAATACGTCTGAGGGATGAACTGGCCCTTCGCCATCGTCAGCCTCTTTATTTTCTTGCTCATGGTGCTTTTTAATAACCGGACGAACGAGTGAGAGCCCTGAAGCAAACACAACTCTCTATTAATTGACAAGAAATTACAAGACTTTGCAGACCTTCAGGGTGAAATAACGAGAAGTCTAGCAACATAACTAGAAAATCAAACATATAACGCTTGATATTAGGGTATAAATTCAATCTGTGTAAGGCTTTTCGACCCTTACTTGCATCAGACAGAAGCGAGGGAATGGAGGATTATATTGCCCATGGTCTTCTCCAAGCACAATATAAATCAAACCTCTTGTTTWGAAGAGATTATCACGAATGATTTCATAGGAAACTAGAATATTAAAGCACGTAATGCCAAAAAATGGAGCAATATTATTAAGCGTTGTATCTCAAATTAAACGATTCGAGTGCTTTTGGACCGATGTTGGTTCGTTAATGCCTTAAAAACTACTTTCGTCGAGAGCTCAATGGGGTGCAACCTTTTTCAAAGAAAAAAATAAATACAAAATCAGCTATATATTTTAAATGGGAAGTCCTAATTCTGGCTACACATTTTACTTTTAAAATATATCCTGTTTGCGCGAAGACAATTGTTTCAGAAGGTTACAATTTGTTACAAAAATTAACTTTTTTAGGGTCACGAAAACAAAATATTATCACATTTTTTTCACTTTTTATTTRAAGGAAACAAGTTTTTATTTTAGTGTAAAATATAATAATTGAGAGTATATCAATGGTACAAGCGATTTTTAACCCGTTTAGATTGATCACAAATGGCAATTCGTTGAACATAACCATCCATTTAGCATGGGAACCACTAGCTCAAAAACTCCCTCGGGAACTTATGTTAAAAGGCTAAAAAGTTAGCACATCGATGAGCTTTCTCTACGMAGTRTTTGATTATTGATAAAGGCAAAGGAGAGCCGTTTTAGGAGTAAAAAATGCTTGCTTTCAAAAAGTCCCTTTTTCTAGCGTTAAAAGCTTTTGGTGTTGTTTTTGATAAAGAAAATGAAACGGAAAATGTAGTGCTTAAAGCGGTAGATTTCAGATATAAATTGTATATTTTGTGAGTTCAAAACAGGTGTGTAGAAATGGTTCTGATGATGTGCAATAAGAACTGCCAAGAATTACTGATAATGACAATTAAGCAAAAAAAGCCCCGAGCAATGACAAACCAAAACAATTTTTCATCCTGCCAAACTTCCCCCTTTTGCAATGAAATGCATCAAAAGGCAACCAGAAATAGATAAAATGTTTGAGTCATATTTTGGGCTTTTTCTAAAAACCAGAACAAAACTGAACACAAGAATGAAATTGCTGCAAGCTCTTAGTCAGTGGTAAAATCCATGATGATGGAGCTCTCTTGGAAAATWACATTTTTACTAAATAAGAGTTTTGTTCTTCAATAAATTGACAAAGCTGTTTGCAAGAATGTGTATCTCAGCCAAAGCCTATCTCTGTTCTATTATTTATATTGTGTTCTTTACTTTGATAATCACATAGACAAATATGGCCAAACATTCTCTTAGTTAAGAACATTAATAKATCTTACCTTCCCTGCCAGAGGTGTGATTGGGAGTTGAGCTTCCATTCTTTGAATTAAGTCCAACAGAATGATTCTAAAACACAAGACAATCACTGCCATAAGAAAGAACATTTTTCTAATTGAATGCAGTAATTCAGATCAAGTGTCATGGATACCCTAGAGCAACAAGGGTATTGAAGAAAGAAAGAAACTTTCATTTTAAAATATCAAAACTCAAGCGAACTAAAATCCTTTGAAAACATCTTAACAACAGCATTTTGCTGATTCCCATAAAACAAGGCTCATTTCGGAGTTGAACTATATCTAGACTTTTCCAAATGAGCTCCTTCAGACTTCATCTTTGCCACGGTGTCCCTTTTACGGGAGTTTGTGTAAAAATCCAATTCGTTTAAGTGTAACTTTAAAAAAGCTATTTGAAACTTTTGATAAACCTAAAGAACAATCACCTATTTGCGATAAACGAAGGGGACCAGCAAAAATTTCGAAAGAATACCTCTATGAATTAAGAATATTTCGCGTCAAAAAAAAATCCAAAGCACTTTGACGAAAAAGAAACTAAGATCTCACTATTAAACAACCAACATAATAGATTTTTAGCTTTTTAGATTTCAATGTTTTTCCGTTAGGAGACAAACAAAAAAACTCTATACATTTCAACTCTCCAGTGCTTGTGGTAAAAAGATCAAAGGAGGCCGAATCACCCAGCTAGAAAACTTCGCCCAATATCAAGTGTTGCCTTCATAAGTTCGCTTGGTTATTTAGTGGTTGTAGCGTTTTCAGTATAAACTTCTTGGGTTATATCCGCGGGGAAAAGGGTTCAATGTCTTTGAAATTACTCCCTACCGCGTTGACTGTGTCCTAACAACAGGTCTATCCTAAACAACATGGCCAAGAATTCATTACAAATACACTCAACTTGTGCAAATCAGTATATTATCGTTGTTGTTTTGACTCCCTGTGAATTCAACGAATAATGTATTTATAAAAGACTCGTTCTGTATTTAAGTATCGTTGTTTTGCTGTATGAGACTCAGTTAACTTGATCTTAATGAGGCCCTTGTAATCATGACTGGAACGATCGCTTATGAGCTTGAGGTAGAACCAAGCAGGGCTTTGAGACACCGTTTTATACACAGGGAAATAGCCTTAAACTTAAGTTGATTGTTGTAGTTTGCAGCAGACCGATAGATGGGATTGCCTATTAATGTTTAACACAACGAAGTTCTAAAAAGAGATTAGTTTGAATGAAGAAAAGAGTCCACTCGAAGTTCTTCCAAGTGGAGTGCTTGCTTCATTCTAATCGATCGCAAACTTGTAAACCTAATCATCTAACTTTAATTCAAAACGAAAACTTCTTGCTCTTAAAACAAAGAATTCACTAATTCACTTTGTTGTAGTTTTTTATTCTTGAAAACTCGAACGGATTAAGATTCTGTACGGTGGATTACTGTAGAAAGTTTGCTATTCTTGCCAGAGGCCAGCTTACGTTAATTGCTTGCAAGGCTTTTGTTTCGTAAACCGACTTTAACCGATCTATTCCTTCGGGTCATGGATCCATCAAAAAACCTGAAACCGAATCATCTTAACTGCTTACTTTACAACAGGGCTTTACAAAATTACAAATCAAAAGTCCGCTAAAACAGCACAACAGTAAAATTAGTTGACGAAGGRAAATGTCACAGTGAACGTTGCCAACTCTCGCTCGGTTCTTCGGCGCGAGTTCAACGGACCTTTATAAGGCTGCATTTTTGAAAGATTTGCAGTGTTCTCGAATGTATTTTGATCACATTTTTGCTTTGAACAATGGATATTTTATCAACGCGGCCAACTATATTCCTTATAAAATGACAACAGCAGTGAATCGGTGTTGAATGAAGTGTGAGGCATGCTCTACTGGTTGCTCCTGCGGTCACGGCCCGTAGAAAAATTATCTTACAATAATTCGAAGCCTACGACCCTAACATTCTGTCTTGATAAAACTACTATTTGTCAATGGACGTACCTATTTAGGAAGCTTTATATGTTATTCAAACAGCTCAAAAGAGCTACCAATTGAATGTCACGCCAAATCGGCGATATGTTTGGCTCTAGTTGTAAACACAAAGGAGACGCATATGACAACAGTTTTGTATGAATACGTCTTCTCAGCACGGCAGAAACCCCCATGCCAATTTGTTTGTATAAAATATCGCCTATGTTACAGCCTCTAGGTATTTTTTAAGGAAAATCGCGGAAGTTTCTTGTCCCCAATTTTCTACACTAGTGTTTTACGATGGTATCGATTGCAAATATACCTCAATTAATGAGACTTAGTGTGAAATAGGAAGGCCTAGTAACACTCTATACAATGGGAAGGTGTGAAGAAGGTGTTTGATCTTCTTTTAAGTACCTGAGTTTCTGAAGGTAACGGCAAACCCGCGGCGGGAACTCCTGTCATAGAATCAGGACCAAACCGCAGTAAATCATGCCTTGCTCGACCACCAAATATCTCATCCCTTCGCCTGGCATGGTCTAACGGTGATGGGAATTGGTTAATGTGCATGGGCTGAAGCGGATCGATATCATCTGGTCTTTGCCTTAATCCCAGATGTCTTCCTTGATGTTGAACTCCGACTTGCGAGTGACTGTTTGGAAGGACTTGGTGTTGTGACACGGAGTGGAAAGTTGGAGGCCCTTGTCCGTATTGTTGTGAATGAGACGATTGGAAAGGCTCAAGGCCATGTTGAAAATCAAACCTYGGTTGTTGCTGTTGGTAGTGCAATGGGTTGTATTGAGTAGGGTAATACTGGTGAGCCTGAGACTGCATTGGAAGAACTTCACGATAGTCGTGCACTGGTGGCGAGTGTGATAATCGTGGTACACAGGCTACTAGAGAACCGCTTGTGGCACTATTCCCTGTTGTCACTATCCCATTGCCACTAGCACTGCTCACGCCGTGTATCCCTAAACCACGATCAGCCTGAGAAGTGGACAAACATGATGGTTTAATAAGGCTATTATCAAATAAACATAACATGCGCGATAGTGGACGACAACCGGTGTCTTGCAGTGCCTGCCCGCAGCACGCTTTGTCAACTAGGAGTCATGATACAAAACCGAGGAGGGGGAAACCTTGGCAGTTCTCTTACCGCCATAATGTACGCCGGCAAAAACCAATTCTATTTCGGATGAACGACAGGTCAAGTGTGTTGAAGACAAGTGCGAACAGAGGCAAGTAGATTTGATTACTCACGATTTTCACACTTTTAAGATGGYCTTACCTCACTGTTGATCAAGTCGAAGGCGGATGTGGAAGTCTCAAGTCGCTTTGAATGCGATGAGTTCGGAGATATCGGAGTTAACGGAGGGGACAAGTCACGAGTATGTGATCGCTTTCTCTTGCCTACTACTTGTCTCAACGTTGCCTGGTTTGGACTGTTAGTTCCCAGCGGATCCAACTGAGTTGTCATAATTACACTTAATTCACGCTCACTGCAGAATGTTTTGTGTCCTCGGGCTGTAGCAGTCGGCGGCGGTAAACGTCAGCACTGTTACCAAAATCCTCTATATGCCTAAACACTGCTCTACAGCAATGAACATGTCAGAGATTGCACCAATTAGCGCCTAAGGGACATTTGAAAGCCGCACTCGGGTCGCTCGGCTCAGTTTAAAATATCGTGCAGCGGCAAGTCTTTGTCTTTCATATGGTTTACCGATCACTTTTCAAAGGGTGCTTTTGGGAATTGACAAGRGCTTGAGTGGCAAGCCAGACAGATTTTAATTATTTTCTGTCGTATTAAAGTTTCCAATTATTTGCAAATCAATTGAGACCCCCTGATGGTTTATAGTACTTGTGAACTCGTCACCTAATACGTGATTGGCAGATCATGAAAGAAAATCGCATCATAATGCCATCCAACACCCAATAATCTTTGGAATATAAACAAGCAGGCGGAGCGTTCTCACAATTTTCACTAGACCTTTGTATGTTTACTCTCGGTTGTTCTAAACCGGGGAGGCGTGAGCCCAGATACTTCAAATGTCTAAATATTCAGCACACAACGTAGAAGGCGGGCTTGTGACCCTGCAAGATTGCGATGTACCAAGMASTTTGAATCGCGCTATCCTTTCTTCCAAGCAAACGCACTTTCTAAGCAAATCACAAAACTCTCTTSCGATTGGTCGCTCTAAATGAGTCCTGACAAAATGCTTCCTGACTCGTGACGGGCCTAGTGAACGGTGGATGTTCTAAATTACAGTCGATTAGATAGCGGGCTGCTTTGAACTTTACTTGTTCATCATAACACCATAACGCACTCCCACACACGGTATTCCCTTTTTCAACCATTAAAAATGACCATCACCTTCCGTGTCGCACAAACAACAAGCCATTTTATAAAAGTATGCGATGAACCACGGGTTCAGTGATTTGTGCATCAACAAGGACCCGGTTTGATTTATCTATTGATAACATTATTTCGATCAAACAACAGCCCCACTCGCTTGCATTGTACTCACAGCACACTCTCTGATACTCGTGACTTGATGGGTACTATTGCCCGCGGCTTCGATTCGTTAAATCATTCAATAAGTAGGTTCTTTCTTTCTATTATGTCAGCAAGATCCTCTAATAAAACTTCATTTGGAAGAAAATAGCGCAATTTTCCGTCAGTTATAGCGCACATACGCCAACCATTCGAGTATAATTCTATATACATGAATGGACGCTAAAAACGTTTTCGCATTTGGCAGCTGCTAGGAGATTGATGCACGCTTTCTTATAAGTTACATACATTCATGAATAATTTGTTCGTCTACCAGCTTTAMACTGATAACAGCAAATAGTCCTTGAGTGAGGCAGATATATAAAGCTGTAACTTTCTTTAGCCACGACCGGATATACTCTCAGTACTAGATCAATATTAGTCGAACGTCAATTGAAATGTTTGCGATCGATTTAACAGGATATGTCAATGTTTGTTTACATGGTAATAAATACTATCCCTTCAGTAAATAACAGACTGTCATCCCAAGCGTAAATCTTGTGAAGATCTCGAGAGCTATATACTTGAATCTCGGTCTCTGTATCAATTGATCCGTATGCGTGATGCAAAGTTTCTTTTTGAACACACGCTGAGAAAGGCCTTTTGCAGCCMTTTTGTTATATTATATAGAGGTCTAAACCAAAAATAAATGGAATGAATAGAAATGATCTTTTGAAGAAGATTTTSTAATCATTGATAAACTCCRTCAACACCTCGCGACAAACCGATCGAATCATAGTCACCAGTTTATGGTAATCGAGAACGCAAAGGCCGTTCTATTCTACCGCAGTCACGAACCTCTTCACTGCTCAATACGAACAATACATATTCCCGCAGTATTGTCGTAGAGATAAAATGGATTAAGAAAACGTTTTTTAATCTTTATTTGACAAGTAAAGACAAATATAGGGAAGCGTTCATCGTCGTTTTTAATGAAGGCTATTTGCATATTACTGCGACACACATAACAATGCCATTGAAGTGTATAGGAACTGGTACCGTTTGTTGCTTTCATACAACTCATGTTGCTTTAAAATCATTCCTTTGATGTACATGCTACATCCTCTACTCTATCTTAACAATCCYTGTGCGTTTTAAGAGCCATTATAAAAGATGTGCCGCATGTCATTGACGGGAATATCAGGTTAGGTAATGTGGTCACCAGAGTGAATAAACCTCTTTATTTAAAGTGGATGATACGCGATTGTCGATCGCCTGTTGGTGCTAATTGGCTCTTATCCTTGTAGAACAACACTCTCGATAATCTTGTGAAATGGAACACGCTCAATAAGAACGTATTCGATTTTAGCGATTTTTTTTGTTCGTTCAACACTCGTTAGGATCCAACAAAGGAGCGGATATAAGATCCTCTTTCATTCTCGCCCTAACACAATGGCAAGCAACACGTTTTATTAAGCCTCATTTCTTGTCTATTTGAGAGGAGAAAAACTCAATAAAAAAGAAAACTCGTACACCTTTTAGTTAAACTATCCAATCTCTCCACAAACAATATTTATTTGTAAAAAAAAATCTTGAGTACCAAAAAAAAATGTTTCCATGCCGTGTTTCCTCTTCACGGCATCAAAGGTTGAAGGAAATAACTTTGCTGCCCAAAAAAGCCAAAGCAACCAGACCCGGAAGTCTCTCAAAAGCGAACAACTATCGTGAACGATGCCATCACTGTTGTGTATATATAAGCGAACACGATGGAGCCAGCACGCCTGTTGTTTTCAATGTCCATTCTCTCAGACAAACTTCTAGTGTTTTGTCAATGTTTTGTTATTACAACAATTAACTACCGCTGCGTCAACTCCTATGTTTGTTTTAAACTTCAAAGTTTGATGTATCGCAGTGAGAATAGCCGAGTTTAGCACACGACTCCAGCTTCTAAGGGCTTCGTGTAGGCAAGAAATGGGTTCGGATCTTCTGCCCGTGGTGTTTTGGATCAGTAAGCTAATAGACGTTTTGACAACCAACTGAGAGCCCAATAACACTACCATTGGAAGTAAAGTTTATAATTCCTAGTGCTAGTTGTTAAAATGATTGTAGCCCTGAGGCCGACAACTGTTCATCGCTTCACAACAGACACCAATAAAGATTTCGATTTCTTTCTATAACACAACTACTTCTACCTTTTCAAATTCGRTCTTCGCGGTAAGAAAARCAGCTAGTTATRTATACCTTCGACAGTTCTGTGGGCTGCTTTGTCCGTATTTCTCGAGCAATCTTTACAAAGAAAAATATTTTGATAAAGCAGCTCAAAAGAAGTAAGTGGCTACGGTTGGGGGTCGTTTCATAGCCTAAAGCTCTCAATGGTTCAAGAAACAGTTTTGTATCTCCTTTAAAAACCAAGAAGATTTTTACTTTTGTTTAATACTTAGCTTCAAAAACGCTCTTAGTAATGTGACGTTCGGTTTGTAATTCACATAGAATTGGAACTTTATTTGTTAAAGTGATATTGTGAAGCAGTAACTTGCAAAACAATGAACTATAAGTCAGCCTAATCCTAAGAGTTTTGTTATAAAAGTTCCTCGGTCAYAGTTGCGAAATACTCCGAAGAGCTTCCAGTCGAAAATACCTCATTCTATGTCCTTTAAGCTGTTACTCGAAACCAGTCTCAAGGGAAAAGTATTTTTMCACAACATTAATGTCCAATCGAAATCTAGACTCTCTTCTAAGGGATTAGACCAGTTACAAGTGATAATTCGCATACAATCGAAAAGTGCTTAGAAAAAGAATAAGCATTTAGCTAGCAAACGGGACCATTTGAGTCATTATTCTGATCCTCAATCAATTTATGCTTCAGTGCAATACTTAATCGCCATAAACAGATAAGTTGGTCAATATTTGCCGTCTAGGATTTCTTATGTAAACACTGAATAAGCAGTGTTTTTGTTAGAGAACTCGCGACTCGCGAACAGAACGCATTAGCTGCGATTAGAAAAAGCGACAACACTCAAGTTGTTTCCAGCGTTTAAGTGGTTTCAAGAGATCCTATCAGCCGGTATTTTCTCATCGATCTCTTCCTTGATATTAACGGAAAAGCCAGCGCTAAATTGATAAAGAAAAAAGAACAAACGCAAAAGCGAGCAAACGAAAATGTGAGTGTATTACTCACAGAGATTACATGTATGTTAAGATAACCTTTGAATGGTCCTTAGACAATTATCATATTTTTTAACAACAAATACCTAGATTTATGCGATTATAAGCTTATAAAGGTAAAAAAGGATATCAATATTTTAGAATAGAATAACACCTTACTGATTGTCTTTTCGTGTTTGGGTTAAGGGAGTGATTTGTAGTTAGTTATCTAGCAAATGCTATCGGTGATATTTTTCTGTGATTGTTTGCCAAACCAAAACACATGTTTCAAAAGCGCGCTGATGTTAGATGTTTGTCTACGTACACGAACAGCTTCGAGCTTTCTGTTTYCCAGCGCCATTCACAACACAATACACTAGTTAAGAAAATGCAATGTTATTTTCCCAAAAGGACTTAACATAAATGCGCTTTTTGTGTGATTTTATTAAGCGATTCAAGGGGCGAAAAAGCGACAAATTAAAAACACGTGTTGGCGAATGTTGATATCACGCTCGAGTAGATTATGTCCTCTTGGAGTATCACACATTCTGGCTATCCATCGATAATCTCTTTTGCGTTTCCCATCCCATTTCCTGTATTTCGTTATGTTGTCCTTCTCATTTTAATTTCTATCATTTTTAATTCTATTCTTATTTCCAATTCCACGTGGTGGCGGACATACTTGGGAGTAGCTATTAGCAGCCATAGCTACCGGACTGATCAATGTGTTTTCRTATTCTRCTTTCTTCCTGACATAAAACACTTTGCCTCAACAAGAGGGTTCTCCAAATTGTAAAAGGGAGTCAAGCAGGTGGCTTTTCAAACACATGCAATTGTCACTAAAACAATGATGACTTTAAGACTGCCTTTATTAAAGTCCGCTAATAGTTCGGTATAGAAAGCACACGGCAATCGCCTATAGCAATACCGAAATATCACCTCTGGGCACAATTAAATCCCACTAAGGTCTGAGAAGGTTGCTCTTCAAATGACTCAAATCAGTGTGTCATACTTTACCGATGAAAACCCCCCGAATAAATTCCATGTCGATTAGAAAATTTTGACCATGAATGGGAAATGCCTGCCATCGTGTTGAAATTAAAAAAAAAAATTAATTCAACCTGTGATTTGTTTCAAAAAATTTGTCGGTTTTTGTGATATACGTCCAGTGCAATGACCTGCATCAACGTAAAACACTTTAAAAAGAGTGYAAGAACAAAGTATTTTCAACAGGCTGTCAGTCTCGTAGTAMAGTCAAAGGGTTACTCTCCAACATTCTTTTGTGGAGAGTCGTTGTGATTTCAAAAATTTTAATTCAACAACATTGAAAATAAAAAGAAATGTCTAGAAGACTTAAGATGATCTAAACTTGTTGACAAATCAATCTTTTAGAAAAACTAAACTCAATTTAAATGATTTATTTGGCTGTTATCTCATTTTATAGCATTTTCGGGACTCATAGACCATTTATTTAGCAGAGTCGCAATGTAGCAAAGGAGCCCGCCGCAGTAATGGATATTTGGTTATAAATCATTGACAATATGTCTGCGGAGTGTAATTAACGCTTCACGGAGTCAAACAATGTTATAAGATCAAGTATTTATAGAATTCAAGTAAAACAATGACTGGAGTCATCAAGTAAACTACGATATTTGCTTCGACAAAATAAATCTTTTATATCAATTATTTGCACATAATTTTGTTGTTACTGAAGAAAGGTGAACAAATAGCCGAATAAGGAAGGATAGATACAACGAAGACTGCTTTGTGTGCCATTCTTGAAGTATAACGTAAAAAAACAAGTGAATCACTGGCAAAAAGCGCGGTTCCAGGTAGGGGTTCCACTAGGA